ATATAACTATTAAAAACAATTAAAACCAAAGAAAAGATTACATGAAATTAAATAGGTCGGGTCTTCATTGATTAAAATGTGACGAATTAACGATAATTGAAAACAATTCTAATTTTAATTTCAATCATTTACGCGAGCACGGAATTCACGCGAGCACGCACGCGCGCAAATATTCGATTATATATGAATTCTTATACGCTGTCCATGCTAAGTGATGTTAATTATAAAATATAGTTGTAAACCCAATTAAGTGTGTGAAATTAATATGCAATGTACGTAACACATATACTTTGCATGTGTTCATCGGGAAGATTATGAAACAAAATGGACGGTGTGTACCACGTGACTTTCGTAAACCAAGGAGTGGAATGTCGCAACTCTTTATATATATGGCTCTGGATCTCTAATGTGCAACGCGCCCTCATCGTCCATTTTTGTGCGCATTGTGAGGCGGAGCGAAGTTTGAAAATTCGCGACATTCGTAAGCATGTATCAATCAGGCCAAAACAAGATGCATGAAACTTTACTGTAAAGTTACCAACGTGCGAGCGTAAATTCTTTACCTTTTTTACTTTACTTTCAGTAGCTGTCGATGACGCCCTCCACACCCCAAACTGGCTCCGAGCCCAAGAGCAGTTACATTGACTATAATATTATCATCAACAAATCACAACTTTATTTTTCGCATTTAGCACAATTTTCTTCACTTCTTAATATTATTAATATTACTATCAATTACCACTATCATCATCATCATCATCATCATTATTATTATTATTACTACTATTACTATTATTATTATTATTATTATTATTATTATTATTATTATCATTAGGCCATATTAATTAAATTGTTTGTCTCAAAGCTCCCGCGCGCATTAAGAAATTCATGCGCGTTGTTCTCGCCTAAACTCTACAAAAGTCTTTTTTTCTTTGCCAAATATCGGACTTTGAAAGACGATCCATAACTCTATTACGGCCCACACACATCTGCACGATGTGGTAGTAACTTGACGCAGGGTTCCCGGAATGCCGCCCTCAGCGGCGTGTGCGAAGCAACTCAGAGTCAGAAGTGGAACGTGAATTTCGATTTGGTTTTGTAGTCAGATTTTCGAGAAAAACTTCAGCTACCCGTATTTCTCGATTCCCGTATTTCTCGACTGAGACGTCAATGGGAGCTGTAATTTGTATGGCAAGTAGATGGTGCTACCCTTAATTTGTATTAAGGGAATTTACGCCCACAAACCTTGTAGTTATTAATATTTCGGTTATAATAGAAAATTTTAATTTTTTTGGTGACGTCACACTCACGCTAAAGTTAGCAGGTATACGTCATAAGCTAGATTACGTCACCTTTTCCTGGTAAAGCAAACTTTCCCGGCGTGCTTTTTTCATGGATAAACAAACACCACTGCTTGGCACATGAGTACCTTGTCTAGTTATGGCTACACGAGCCGCATAGTTAGCATATAATACTTAAACAAGGTACGTCTGCAACTGAATTATTCTTAGGCCCTAGTTAATTTTTTTTCTTATTTTAATTTATTTCTTTCGAAAGTGTACTTTCTATCACATAAAATTGCACTGTCTACTTAGGCCTAGTCATATTATGCTTCATCTTCCCCTGCTATACACAGTACATCAGTAGGCTAGCTCCCACCCCCACGCTACAGTACAGACGTTTGCTAGGCAACAGAACGCGATTGCACCTTTCGTACCAGGTGTTCATGTAAATTTGCATAGGCCTATTGTTAGCCAACCAGCTGAGTGTATTCCTTTGTGAAAATGAGTACCGCGGGCCGCCGCGTACTCATTTTCACAAAGCATTTGCATCCCCTCTTGAAAAGAGGGAACTTCGTAATAGTTGTCACCATATCTTCGCTCATTAATCACCGTATTAGCTTACATTTATGTTTGGAGGGAGCACTTACAATGTACAATAATCATTTTACTACCCGACAAACCCCGAACTTTATTCATGCATTACATAAATAGTTTCATCTTGCTGTACTTCAACATCACTGGCGCATGGTAACAACCAACTGGCAGACCATTTCCAGTCATACATTACTCTCCATAACGCAACACCCCTTGTTCCGTGTCATATGATGCGTGAACTCAATCACAGCCCGACGACACAACGTGTCGCAACGTTCTCGGCGGTACATACTAGATTCGATGCCCAAGCTATCAATAAAATAAGCCTAGGCACGGGGTCTAGGCTACACCATATGCGATCTTAATTCACAAAGCCAAAAGTTATTGTTTTTACTTCCGAACAAAAAGCATAGTAATTTCGCCCTTTGAGATGATTCGCTCGGTTCGTCACGCTAGGACGACTTGGCCATAACCAGTTCGTTAGCAACGCCATAAACAGCTAGCTCTGCAGAAATTACATAGAGCTATTAAACAACTAGAGTGATGACAAGATGGCGAAGTGCTCTGTATGTGTACCATCTACCATCAGCTATGTATGTGTACCATCCAAGATGGCCGTCGTAGTAAAGCGCCACCTTCAGGCTTAGAATACATAACATAAATAAGCCCTCTGACTATCTATTATTTCATTAATAATAATGAGTAATGGTAATAACAAATTATTAAACTGTCGTAGCCAAAACGAGGCCAAGTGGAGCATCTTATTAAAAAATAAAGTACCAAGGAATGAAAATTACAATCGTGTACATTACACCCATACACCACAACGCTCGAGTTTCAAACATACGGGTAACTAGCTGTACTGCACCTTCTGTGTAAATTGAGGGCGCAATTGCAAAAGATGGTGCTTAGGCGAAATTTGATTGGCTAAATCTATGGCAACCATCTTGGATGGTACACACATAGCTCTGCGTGTTTCGAACATCGAATACACTGCAGTTAGTGCTCTAGTATTCTTATTATATCTCTATGATAAATTATCATAAATACCTTGAAACTTTTTTTGCAGACAGCGCAATTTTCGACTCCCGGATGGCGTTTAAGATGTTAAAAGCTAAGGTTTCGTACCAACAAACCTCATTCGGCTGGTTTCTGCACAAAGCTGATATTAACCACACTTTCGATGATGTCTTAAATGATCTGTTACAAGGCAAAAACCCTTGTCTCCCGTCAGATAAATTGACGAAATTGCTTAAACTAGAAGTAGGAAAAGGTGTAGATGACATGAAGTTCGACACATATGCTTCCATGCTGTTGGATTATGAGTGGGTAGACTCGCCTCTCGAATACAGAATCGCAGATATTAAAGGCAACTTTTCTTGTGTAAAATTTGACCTTATTAACAAAGGTCAGTGTTTTCCAATCATACTTTTTTGTAGGATATATTGGTGAACCATCGTCATATGATTATTTACCTTTGCCTAGCCTGGGCCCTAGGCTAAAGAATATGCATGTGGTGGTTGTATCTATAGTACAAAGCTTTTCAAGGTTTCATACATAGAAAATAAGAAAGACAATATTCTAATTCAGTTTATCTTTGTTTTTTATTCGGTGTAGCATTATACATGTGTTATGCAATCAACCTATGGTCACATCAACAGTAAATATTTGTATTTATTCTGCATACAGTACTTTAAAAAAAATCCAAAATAAAGAAAAAAATGATTTAAAAAAAAAAACAGCGTTCCGCATTAGTTTTTTCACAAGAAGGGAGCTTTGAGACAAACAATTTAATTAATATTAGTAATACTAATAGTATAGTATTATTACACAAAACTTTGAAGAAGCTTGCAAAAGGATAAAAACCAAACTGAATCATAGTATCACATTTCTTTATTTTAAAAGACTTGGCCTGGGAATTATGGATTTTTAAAAATCACGCTTAGACATGTACTGTATTATAATTATAATAGGCCTAGACCTATGTATAGCGAGTACTGATGCATATGTATTAATATTAAAGTATTAATTTTGAGTGATACCAGGAAAGAATTTGTATTGGCTCAAACACAAGCTTTAAAATGTCAACACTGTGTAGAAAGGTGGAGGGGGGGGGGCGTAAGAGCCTAATGGTTTATAGAAGTTCATTCTGGTATTATCTATAACAGTATTTTTATTTCGATGCTGTACCTAAATTTTACTCTCTTTTATAGAGCCTAAACTACCATCAACAAACACACATTTATACAAGCATAATTACTATTATTGTTATTATTATTTTTTACTACCGGTACTATTTCATTATTATAATTTTTATAACTACCATTATTTTATGTATATTATTTCTACTACTATTATTAAAAATACCCCCGCATTTAAAAAGTTTAACATATCGTTCATTGGTTAATTTCATTCATGACATCATGTGCCCGCATATCTATCGGATTTTTGCTACTCATCAGACGTAATCTTAATGCGCATCGATTATTGGTTGATTTCAATCAGACGTCATACGTACCAACGCATGTTTCGATCTTTTCATTATACGTCATTATTCATCAGACTTCAACGTGACTGGGCCTGTCATGAGAAAACCCCGCTATGCATCATCAGTTTGAAAAACCCGCTATGCGTCATCAGTCACCTTATCATTCAGCCTATCCTTTTTGGAACACTCAAAAGATCATTAAATGTAAGTTATTATCACTATTATTTAACGTTGAGACATTCTCAACAACAACAGTTCTTTTCAGAACTACTTAGATAGGCGAGACATACATATACTTCACACATATCATCCTTGACAAAAAAATTTTGAATAGAAATAAAGTTGCTACAAGACTTGACGCTATCCCCAGCGAAACGTTGATTAGAGGAGTCTCTGTAATCCTATTGTGTTCAGAATACGATTGATGGAATTTTTTCTGAAAATACATAAATAAATAAATTGGTCTAAATAAAATAAATAAATAGTACATATAAAATATAGAGAGAGAAGCAAATTGCAGTTTGAATTGATTAATCAACGATTTTTAACACGAAAAAAATGTAACTTACCCATCCTCCTTTCAAATTAATCCATTCCAAAAATTCCGTCTTCACGAATTTGTCTACACTCTGTATTACTTGATCAATCAAATTAGTTTTGTTTCTATCTTTACATAACACAGCTAATTTCGCTCCAATCACAAACATCATAATTATACGGCCCCAGTTTATGATATTATCATTAAACATCTCTGTTAAAACGTCTTTTAAAAACGTCTTAATATTTTCATTTGAGTCAAGCGATACTTCTCTTGTCAAATTACAAACATGTTCATCGCATGCATTATACATTTTTTCGCAATATTTGAAAAAATTACAGTTCATATCTCCTCTATATTCCATATCATTGCCTAGTTTATATGCTACAAACGCTGAATTGATTTCTCGTGCAATTCTTTCAGTTTCCATGTTTATATTTTTTCCTCGAATAACCTCAGAGTTGGTAGTAGCAGTTGATTCGGTTTTTCCGGACATGTTTGAAAAAATAATACAGATAAAAACGCACCTGACGTAGAGTAACACGAACTTATAATAGTTTATTTTTGTTGTAATGGAAAGATAATCAAATCTCCTACAACTCCTTATTTTATAGAGCCTACACTATCATCAACAAACATACGTTAATCCAAGTATTTTTATTATTATCATTATTATAGTCCTAATTATTTACGAATATTTTAATCTTCATCATTATAATTTTTTTATTACAGTACTACCAATATTTTAAATATATTATTTTACAACTGTTATTAAAACATACACCCCACTTTAAACAAAGAATAAACAAACGTCACTCAGACATCACGGACCCGTACATATCACGATTTTTCATTACTCACCAGCCCTTATCTCGATGGACACGTTGCTCATTGTATTATCTCACTAAGACGTCATTTACCCGGAACTGTCTGGGTACGTATCTCATTGGCTAATTTCACTATACGTCATGTACCCTCAAATCTATCGGATTTTCATTATTCATCATGCCATGGTCAGGCCTCAACGTGTTTGGAGCCATCTTTTTGAAAATCCCGCTTCCGTTAATGCACTACTATAGGAAATTGTGTAGAAAAAAATATCGCCTTTTGGAATAGCAATTTACATTACATTGGAATAGGAATTTACATTACTATATACTATTTGTGAAAACAGGGTGAAATTTCCTCAAGTGACACTATAACGATTACTACTTATCATGCCACTTGAAACCGTCAGTTCCCAACAAATTAATCAATTAATTGAAAGTAAGTGGTGGTGCCAGTTGTGGAGGCAGATTCCCGTCAAAGGAGAACTCAACACATTCCTAGGGAAAAATAATCATATGTAACTTTCCAGAATATGAGCCTGTAGACCTTAAGCATTCAAAATCACTAAATTGTTAAAATTCCGGGGGCTTTTCCCCCTGGACCCCTTAACAGGATCTGGGACATCGCTCCTCCCTTGCCGTTGGTCAAATGCTTTTTGATGGATTTACACAAGCAACAAATGAAAGATCATCAATAAGCAAGAAATGTTGGAAAATTAAGTGTCCCAATTATTTTGGAAAAATATCATATCAATCTTTTGGTGCAAAAATTGTAATGAATAGTGTCCTAATAGTGTGCTGTAGTACAATTAAAATAGTATAGAAATTGAAATTGCCAAATAAACCTCAAAGGTATGTGCGACCACAACAAGGGGCTTCAGCCACACCATCTCAGAATTTTACCTTAGGTCCATGTATACAAGAAGATTTTCTATAGCCCGTGACATCAAGTCTTAAAATTATTTGGCCCTTCAAATAATTCAATTAAGAACCAGGGGCGTAGACAGTATCCTTGTGGGTAGACCACAGCTGTAGAATAAGTCTAGTGTATCAAGTTAAATTACGTAAGCATACTTTAATGGAATGAATTCTGTGTTTTGCAGCGCAACAATCACCATTCATGGACATTAAAACCGGGATTAACCTCTGGAAGCTTGAAATCTCAAAGTTAATCTTTCAACTTGTTGAAAAACATTGCAATAAACAAGAAAGGGAAAGAGTGAGAGCTTGGATAAACGATCCTGATACCATTCCTACGAGAGGTTTTACAGTTGCTGTAACCCTGATTGCCCTTGCTGTGGACAACCCGCTATATTCAATGTAAGATATTATGGCATAGATTTTTTACAATAATTTTTTATTTTATTTTTGTCTGTATTCTGAATTTAGAATTTGGCATTAGGATTTTACTATTAGGCCTTTATTGTGTTTCAAATAAATTCAATAATAATATAAAAAATCCTGTAGTCATAACGGCTTATTTATTATTGATGTATAAACAAACGTGAATTCTTCAATACTATATATATCACACTTTAAATATTTAGATTAATTTAATTGCATTGGTTTTCATTTTAAATTACACTCAAACACTCTCGTACCACATTTAGCTTTTAAAGCCAAACGTATTTATATAGGTTTAACCATAATGTGCTAGACTTTAATGCATCTTGACATCGATAATTTATATATTCCGAAGCGAGTTTGCCTCAGGAAAATATCATAGGAGTGATATTTTGCCCTACCTGACGTGTTATCAGGCCCGTAGCCTGACTTCCAAGGGGGTGGGTCTTTTTTTAGCCAAAGATGACCTTTTTATACGGGTGCCTCCGCGACCCAATGTGTACCGTAGGCACATGCTGTATGGCATGTGCTGCTTGATACACGTGTGTAAATGCAGTACATGACTATCAACTCACAGTGGGGATTCCCCTGCTTCAGCCATCATTCAGATCATTTTGGCCTGAGATAGATCCACAGGCTATAGGTCTAGCAGCTATATGAGAAACATATTTGGCATGGAAAAGGGTGACCCCAGCCGGGGGGGGGGGTCGTCCGACCACTCCGACCCCCCCTCCTGCTACGGGCCTGGTTATCGTGCTGAATACTCAGTACGACCACCGAGCTTGCGCTTGGTCTAGTAGTTAAGACATCAGGCTAGATACCTGGAGGTCGTGGGTTGATTCCCAACCAAATCACTTGCGAATTGTGTTTTTGGGGACGTAATGAGTATTCAGTACGATGACACGTCAGGTAGGGCAAAACATCACTCTTATTAATTCATATAGTTTCTTCTTATTTCAAGGATATGTTTAGGTAAATCAGGTCAATACCGCATTCCGTTTTTACCGATTGTCAAGAATTTAATAATCCGCCAAGTGAGTTTGAGTGAGAAAGAGAAGATAGCAGGAGAGTACATAAGAGACCTGTTTAAAGACGCAACATATAAAGATGATCTCAAAGAGCTTTACAAGAAATGGAAAAAGGCAAGAACAGATACCATACAAATGTTGGAATATATTGCAGATGAGATGAGTGATGACAGGAAGAATGCAAATATTGCTAAGGTAGTTGGTTCTTCCGTGTCTGCTGTAGGAACAGCAGCTGCAGTAGGGGCAACGGCATTAGCGATAGTTATTCCTGGTGGTATTGCTGCAGCCGGAGCAATTGCAGCAATTGGATCTGCTGCTGGTATAGCCGGAGGAGCAACAAATATTGGAGCAGATATTGTTGCAGATAAATTGGCTAAAAGAGCCGAAACAAAATGTGAGAAAATTATAAGGAATGAAGCTAAGTGCACCGAAGATTTTGTGAAGCTACTGAATGAATACAAGAAACACACAGAAAATCATCTAAAGACAGCTAAAATGCTCGGTGACGTACTTGTGCGCTTTAGAAAGCTGCACGAAACCAGAGTGAGGATAACTTTTGGTAAGGTTCTACATAACTGTACTATTTATACCTTTTGACCTAATGCATTCCGAATGAAATAAAAGAGTACTATCACACCACTTGTATTTTAATATCACATTACCTAATATCCACGACTTATTGCAATATTTATTGATTTTGTATACAGGCATAGGTGATTCGGTCGAAGAAGACCTCGGGTTTGTAAAATCGGTTGTGAAAGGTAAGAAGACTAACATAACTAGACATTTTCTTGGTTTTGCTTCAACAAATTCATAAGCTAACTGGTTATAATTACCACATTCCCTTAATTTTTATATGTTTTTCTTTAAAGGTGTTGTGTAATAGTTGTGTTTATATTTGTAATTTTTCCTGTAATTTATCCTACATGTTTTTATGTTTGTTTTCACTGCCATTTGGTTTAAGTTTATATGCAATTGTCTTGATGTTAATTTTAGTCTTATGGTTTTGTATTTTGTTTTTGATGGTGTAATTTGAATGTTGTTTGACGATGTTCATAGTTGTTTAATTTTGCAAATTCTTTCATAAATGTTTACTTGCTTTGCTTCTAGATAGGCCTACTATGTAGGCATATTGTACATCAAAATAAAGCTGCTGCCAATTTGTTGTTTGTTTTATTTGGCACAATAAAGATACTGACATGGGCCTATAACTTATAAGAGTAGAATAATTACAGCAAGTGTAATCTCATTTTCTGTGTTGTTGCAAAAAGTTGGAGTGAAAAATAATTGAGAGTTGTATTTCTTTTAACAAACAAGAAACGAAGTTGATTGAGGGGAAGAAAAAAACCATTGTCAAGATAGTTACCATTGGGGGTGAAGTGATAACCCGAGTCATTCATGGAACTGGAGTAACGGTGGCAACAAAGATTGGTAAGGTTTTTAAAGTTATTCTTCAGGCCACTATTTATTAATCTAATCCATTATCATCAGTTCATATAACAAAATATCAATTTATAGATCACCTCGCAAATCCCCGTCCCTGTGTCTGGGGCGGAAGCATGGGGCGGGGTGCAGACGCTGCGATCGCACCCCCTAAATTATATTAGGAAAAATAATTATTTTATTACATTGTTGATATGAATTATTGGTAAGAATTTTAAAATATGAAAGTGCAATTTCCGGCCAGCCAGAAGTCCATATTCTCGAAATTTTCGCACCTCAGTCCCAACTACGTTGGGGCTGAAGTGGCGTGGACTCTCACGTACCCATGGACGCATATCATATGGAAAAGGGAAACACACCCTACATATTTTTAAGCGAAAGGGTTGGTCCCCTTCACTTTTCGTGAGTAAAGAAGATGCCTGAAAATTGTTGAATTAAACTGCATAAATTGTGTGATGATGATGAATTTTACTATATAAAAGTGTCATTTCCGGCTATCTAGGTATTATCTCACCAAATTGTCTCACCTCAGCCCCAGCCATAGTGGGGCTGAGGTTTTTAAGTTGTATGTTCTATGGTACATCACACATATTAATTAGATCTCAGCTGTGGTTGCCGAAAATCGCTGATAAAATATCATCAGTTTGCGCTTCAACTTGACTATCATGGTGATGTGATGATGATGATTTGTACTGTATAAAAGTGTCATTTCCGGCCATCTACAGGTACTTTTTCCTCTAATTGTTGCACCTCAGCCCCAATTATGGTAGGTGTGGGCTCACGAAATGTGAGCCCACGCCGCCTGCCAGCATTAATTTTTCCCCATACACCGTTGCGGCAGTAATTATAGAGGGTGTTATGAACGCTATGAAGTCACTAGGCCAAAATATCTTAATAAGCCTTGGTAGTCAAGACAGTTTAAAAATTGTAGTACTAAATTAGACACATTCTATGTAGGCCTACAGCATGGTTTTCGAAAGAATAAAAAAAAACCGGATTAGGCTAATGGGCTATTGAATCTGGCACCGTATTTGAGTAGGCCTAGGCCTACAGTTAGGCTTTACAGTATGACGTGTGTGTTGTAGCAATTGTATGCTCCCAATTACTTAGTATTACTGATTCTGAACGGTATGAAATGCTCGGAAACAATGACTAATACTTCGGACACAGTTAACTTACAATTTTACAATTAAAAGTTTTATTTTATATGATAAAAAAATCCCTTCCTGTTAACAGCAGTGAGTGTTTCCGTATTCTTTTGCATGATTCATTGGTTGGTAACATTTAAGAATTTTTGTAGAACCGTAAATTAATGATATATAGAATATCGTAAAATTAGTGTTTATAATAATAGGTATACCTGATTGCTAGGCTTATATAATCTACGCCTTCATTAATATTGAATATGAACGAAATGTTTGTAAGAAGTCAAGAATAAAACAATACATAGAATTGTACCTGTGTGTCCGAACATTTCTAATCCCACTTCACTTAAATGACCTTAAATAGTGCCCTCTATAATTTTTGCCTGAACTGTATGGGAAAAAATTAATGTCCCCTCACCCCACCCGGCACCTTCCAAAACAGATCTGCGCCCTGGCACACCCCTACCGAAATCCTGCATCCGCCTCATTATGTTGATGAAGTCCAACAAAACGATGACACTCCGAATGGTCAATTGCACTATATTCTTTGGAGTGTTGCTTTTGCCATACTTGACAATTTATCGTACTGAAATACTCACGTTCCCAAACACTTACGAAAACAAGTTTCCTAAGTGATTCATGTGGGAATAACTGACAAAACTACCCTGGTGTCTCTACTAGTCCACCAAGCTTGCGCTTAGTGGCTAGTGTTGAATCATATCAGGTAGGGCAAAACATTAAACTGCTACTTGGGGATAGTATTTGGGAACGTACTGAGTATTCAGTACGATAACACATTAGGTATGTTAAAACATCACTCTTGACATGGGAATGATATATATTTACACCATCTATGCATCTGGTGATTCTTTATACCATCTAGGCACTCTGGTGTTTCTTTTCAGCTCTAAATATGTCCGATGATGTTGCTCGACTGTTTACGTATGCCGCCGCTAAAGCCGCTAGGGTAGTTGCTGGTGTAGTTGTTATTGGGATTGATATATATAGTATCGTTAAAACAGCTATAGAATTGGACAAAGGTTCACCTGATAAGGCCGCTGAAAATATTAGAAAAGCCGTTAAAGAGCTGAAGAGGAGAGCGTTACCTGAACTGGAAGATGTAATTATTCAGACACGACTTGAAGCTGCGGAAAAGGATGGAATAGAAGAAGTTCTTGAGAATTAACCAAAGCATTAAATTTTATATTATCAAAACTCATTATCTCAAATCATTAAATTTAAATTGAGTTTAGATTTACACACAGGTACATAACAAATTGATAAAGATAAAGCGATTTCTGTATTTACAAATTAACATTATAAAAGAAAAATGCATGTTCTACGTATGTATCGCATAAGGCAAAAGCTTCTATGTGCTTTACAAACAAGCTCGTAGCCAGAATTTGATAGGTGGGTTCTTTTTTATACTGAAAGGGCACTTGCGAAGGTAGCACCATTAACGGGGTCTAGGGGTGAAGACACGGCGGTGGGGGTTCAGGGGCGAAGCTCCCGGAATCTCCAGCATTCTAGACATTTACAGGTGTTATTTAATTGATTTGAAAGGCCATACATTAAAAAATGTATATAGGGCCTATTAAAGAGGTAATTGTTTGAGTTAGGCAAAGATAAAAAAAAACTACTACTTTAGTACTACATTACTGGTAATTTAACAAGAGCCTACAGTAGCATGATACAAGAGAATTATACAATAAAATTGGATCGAAAATATACGGTGTCTTACGAAACTGGATATTCATTATTTTGCATTTAGAAGGAGAAAATAAAAGGCCATTAGAAATGGACCAACGTTCAAGAGAGGCGGTAGCTAATGGAAGTGGATCAAAGAGATCATTTTTAAAAGAACAAATGATTACTAAGTCATCCGCATAGAGAGAAAAAGAACAATCACGAAGTGAATCCACAATATCATTGATGAAACACAAAAACAACGTCGGGCCAAGTTTGCTTCCTTGAACAACATCACTAAGAACGGGGAGCTTATCAGAAAGAATACCTTGAAAGGAAGTTTGTTGAGATCTATTGTTTAGCCAATTGGCAATCCACGATACAATAGTGAGATGAAGGCGAAATGTATGGGATAACTTAAATAATAACAGTCTACTGAATCAAATGCACGACAAATGTCAACCGAGAGTAGTCTGGAAATAAGGTTCAAATCAGCAGATTTAAAATGGTTATGGGTAACATAAAGTAATGAATTAATTGTAGATTTACCCGAACGAAAGCCACACTGAAATTTAGACAACCTATCATTAATTTGAGCATTAATCCGCGTACTAATAATACCTTCAAAAAGTTTACAAAAGGGAGAGGTAACAGAAACAGGACGATAATTAGAAAAAATTGATTTACTTGAACTCTTATAGAGGGGATGAACAATTGCATTTTTCCAGTCAGCTGGGATGGAACATAGATTTAAAGAAAAAGTAAAAAGGAACTCAGAAATCGTTCACAGAAAGGGGCAATAATTTTTACAATAAAATTACTTATGCCATCAGGACCAGGAGATTTTGATGAGCTTAATTTGGAAGTAGCATTCTTTATTTCTTCAATAGAAACATCAGGGCAATCAAACAAGGAAAGGGGTAGACAGGAGTTAGGAATACTATATGGAAGGTCACTAGAACATTGCGAAGAAAATTGAATATTAAAGCGGGAGGCTATTTCAAAGGGATCGTTAACTTGGACACCCTCGGCAGTTATAAAGGAAGTTGATGATTTCTTTTTACTTGGAAGAATTTTATTGATTTCAGACCACCAATCACAAGTCCCATGCTTTAAATGACCGATAATTTGGTCATGATAATTCTTTTTCGCCCTGCGAATTTGACATCGTACCCATCCTTTTAAAACAGAATATATATCTCTATCGTTAAACCAAGCCCACTGTCTATATAAAATTAAACTTTTAAGATTAGGATTTAACCACATAGCATCGTTAATATATCTCCGAACCGTACGGAACCCCAAACAGGTCCGTAACAACAATTTAATATGATTTAAAAAATAACCGTACACCTCAAGGTAAGGGTGAGTGTCCAATAAACGTTCGAAATTACCCCAATCAGTGTTATTTAGTTCAATACGTAAAGTTTGGATGGATTCCGCGTCAGTTCGTAACACTTTCGTCTTATAATTATAACACGACCTATTTACAGTTTGTAGAAGTGGAATGTCAAAGGACACCGCTTTATGATCACAGCCTGTCATCCAGTTAAACACATGAACATTTCCTACGCTGTCTTCTTGGCCAAGTATCAGGTCTAATATATTGTTCACTCTCGTTGGTTTGGTGACGAATTGTTTAAAACCGTTGACACTTTCAAAGGTGGATAACATAATCATTGAGTTTGATCTGCAGCTGACCTAGTTCAATTGGCATTTGGGTACTCCTAAATAATACATAGTTTCACTTCTTTAAATTTATAGTGAGGAAATTTGCCAGAAACCATTCGGATACTTCTCCAAAACTTGCATTCACTACACGAAATAATGATTCTAAATTTGTATTTCTACAAAATATAGTCGTATCATCTGCATATAAAAAGAAGGATAATAATGCTGAAGAATTATAAATATCGTTTATATATAAAAGAAACAAAGGGGGCCCAAGAGAGAGCCCTGTGGGACACCGCAACTAATAGGCAAGTAATTAGATTGTGAGCCACCATACGTTGTGCATTGGTAGCGGTTAGACAAATAACTCCTAAAAAGATCGTGAGGAACTCCACGGATACCATAGTGATACAGTTTACAGAGTAGGATTGGAATGGGTAATAGTATCGAACGCTTTTGATAAATCGATAAATACACCTATTGCAAACATATTGTTTTCAAAAGCATCAACAATTTCGTTGGACAAGTCAATTAATGCCACAGATGTATCAAAGTTTTGTACGAAACCCAAATTGCTTATCAAAAAGAATATCGGTTTTTTTTCAATAAAAGCATACGTTCTATTGTAAATAATACGTTCTAATATTTTGGAGAATACAGTAAGAACAGATATTGGCCGGTAATTAGACAATGAATCCTTCCTACCCATTTTGAAAATAGGGGAGACTCGCTAATTTCAATTGATCCGGGAAAACCATTTTTTTAAAGATAAATTAAATGTATGGCAAAGAGGTTTAACTAAAAAATAAATTGATTGTTTTATAACTATATATATATATATATATATGTATATATTATATATATATATATATATATATATACCACTTTACAGTGCATAAACATAAGAATACAAATAAACAGAGATAATTAACATAATTTTTTAAAAGTAGAATTATTGTTTAGCGTTTTCAACGAATACAAAATGAAGTAAACAGGTGATTGATATGCTTTCTATTTTGAGAAATTCTTTGGATGGATTCACGTGATCTAAAATGATGTGGCACTTGCGCTCCTTAAACATGGAGGCCTAGCTCAGGTTGTCGTTGCAAAAACTCTCAAAGAAAATCGTTTTCCTCACTCACAATATATACAGATGTAAAATATAGATAAATAAATACTGATAATTCTTTTAAGCAAAATTTTAAGAAAATCTTCCTTTGGCAAGACATCAGACAGTGTTAAAATTTAAGACATATCAACATATTTAAGACAGTTCACTACTATTATTACATTATCATAAAATTTCAAGACAAATATACATAAACACAAACATGTAAAAAAAAGAAATTATAGGAAATCTACACAAAAATCAATCTCGAGATGTAAGCCTATCACCCCCAACATCAACATCTTTCAAAGCTCACAGGGGTGGCGCAAGCACCCCCGCCCCCCCGGGGGGGGAGGGGGAGGGCAGGGTCCCCCCCCCCCCACGTCGGGGAGAAAAAGCACAACTCGTCGGGGAGAAAAACAATTATATGTATTTTCTACATATAAGTAAACTCTAAAATCGATTAAATAAGCCTTTGAAATCCCTAAATTGTCATCATTATTGGGAGCTTCGCCCCCAGAACCATTTTCGAAATCTTGTAGTCGAAGCTCGACCACGCCCACTTTACTTTCGTCGGGGAAATCTGAACCTTCGTCGGGGCATCGGCCCCTCCCCCTTCGTCAGGCAAATCCTGGAGCTACTCCTAAAAGCTCAAAATTGTAATAGTGTAGGCCTACTGCGCTAGCAGTAATAGAGAATGCAATTATTCAGTTTTGTATTTTACGTATAACTATTTTCAGTCGTATCACCATAATTATGCCACTCTCTTTAATAAAATAAACAACAATAATAATTGTCTAAGCTAATTACATTTCATCCAATTCATTAATGTTCTTTAAACTATTGAATAATAAACGATAATACACAAAATATATTGTAAATATAGGCCTAAGCTAAATTTGGGTTTAATGACCTGCTTAATATTAGGCAAACAAGTTTCCCGACCGATAATATAATACAGTCAGTCAGTTTAGAGATTTTTCCAACACATAAAATAGCACTATTTTCAAAATAGCAGTATATAGCATGGCCAAAAATACCCTAAAAAACATAGGCCTGACACTGTGCTAGCAATGATGATACATAGATAATTACAACATTACCTTGCCGTTATCGTAGTTTTAGGTTAAAGTTTTGTCCACACTGTCAAATGTTTGACAGAACTGTTGTATATAATCTTGATATGCCTACATATGGCTATTATGTGATATCATCATGAACATATTTAGGCATATTATATGTTTTTGTCAAGTTTTTGTCAAATAAAATGTGATAATCTGGGCAACAGTTTTATAGGTGAAATGATCTTTTTAATATGAGTTCGTTTAATAAGGTGCAAGTTTAAGCTGCAACAGAATGAAAGGCTCATGCTATTTATATATCTTAAAACTCTGTTTGGTTTGCTTCGCTGGGCGACCTTCTCTTGAGCTTTTACGATAATGGACGGTTAATGTTAATGTTAATGTAGTCTGTCAAGGGTTTAGTCAGGTACTGCATATACCATAGCATCCGGTATCGGTGAGGAACATCGTGCCGCTTTTTACGAATCATCAGAATTACCGGTAGGCCTACTCAGTGCGACTAAAATGTCTGGAACATACTTTGTTAAAAAGACAATATATAACACTATACCAATAATTAAACCAGCCAACGAATAGTCTTTCGCAGATTCACCAGATTCCTTGGCTTCGTCAACATCTCCATTTTCAAAGTTACATGTACTCTAAAAAGCAAATAATCGAAAAAATTAATAAACCAATAGATTAATGTTCATAATTGTTATACAATTCAAATATTATTAATTAATCTTAACTTCGAATTTCATCAGTAAATATATTGGTGTGAACATTGCATTTTTTAGACTTACTACGTCTCAAGCAGCACGTGACAAGGAAAGGCAACAGCCGCGTGCATTATGTGCACGTTAAAAAACGCAGTACAGTATGCAATCTTCGGAAAAGAGTAGGGGATTGTCTGCCCAATCACCACCAGAAGGACCCCACTGGAAATAGGTTTAAGTTTTCCTCAGACTAGCGTGGGTTATCCTTGGTGTTTACACCGGATAAATCCAATCCAAACCAAACCATTAACAAAACCAATCTGGTTTGGACTTATCCTTGTTGTTTCCACCGCATAAATCCAATCCAAACCAGATTGGTTTTGTTAATGCAGTTACATTAATTCATTTATTTCTTGTAATTTCAAGTTTAATTTGTATTATGTCTTTAATTACATTTCAATTCGACTTATTCAATATTTCATTAGCAGCAAATACCTGAATTAATCAAATTTACAATTTCAAATTCTATACACAAAAATGACCTAACAATACCACAAAAAAAAAACAATACAATTCAACACAAACAAAATACATTTTGGATTAAAATTATCAGATACTAAATTATTATTAAAATTGAAATATAATAAAATGAAGTATGAATGGAGACACCCACAAAAAGAGAAACATTAAAATTGGGGGACAATGAAGAAAAATGCATGGAAAAAAGACAAAATATACAGACCAAGCAAATTAGTTATTTTACAAAATTGATAATTAAACATTATTAATTAATTATTAAAATTTTAAAAATTGTTGCACAAAAATTAAGAATTAACTGCCTGAACAGATTGCATGTAGGCCCTATTTGAGTCTCAGACACTGACCTGGCATTTAAATTTACATTATTTGTGAAATGGACGTTTCCGGAGTGTCCACCAAACTAAACTGACAAATCAGTACAGTGCCAGAATACGCGCGGGCCATACTAACACAACTATTGTCCCATAACCAACATAACGCATTAGGGAGCTTTTGGTTGCACGACGACGCACCCCCTCGGCAGAACCCGTTGTATTTAGCAACTACCGTGAGTAAGCAGGGGTGGCGCCAGGACCTGCCCGACGGAGGGGATAAAGGCCCCGACGGGGGGGGGGGGCTAGTGGAGCGAATCGAGTCTCACTTGGCTGGGGGCCAGGGGGCCGCCTAGGGCTTCGCCCACTGGAAGCCACGGATATTTGATGAATTATGGCTAATTTTTATTACTTATTTGATAGGCATCGAGTTACTATAATATGACTTCATGTAGGTTAAGCTTTCTAATGTTGACATCAGCTTTCAAAACCAAAACATTTTGAATAAAGCAAGAAACAAAGAGTATGCAACGTAACCATCTAATTTATTTTCAAATCCTCATTCTTGAAAGTGAAATTCTATATTTTGGAAATTTTGCATGAAATCTGTCAACCACGTTGTCTTGGTCACGGAAAATACAAAAGGTTTCCCACCGAAGTTCTTTTGTCCCCAACCTCCTTAAACATTTCAAAAATTATTGCAATATGAACTTATTTTGGTATTACAATGAAAACTAACATCGTCCAATCAAAAAATAGTACAAAAATGACGTCATATAGATTTAAAAATGCTTTTATTGAATTCTACGGGCATAAAATCCTCTACATAAGTCTTGTATTCGATTAGATTAGCTTCTGTAATGAGTAATTAATTTTGGCACACTTTGACTTTAGTCTGGCCCACTGTGCACTCCCTCGGCTGAACCCGTTGTATTTAGCAACTACCGTAAGTCCTTCCAGGTCTTTCAATTCACGCTGTCAGCCGATCACAATCTTTATGTTTGACTATAACTTATCACTGTACCTTTTCACTTGACTTTCCACTTTTTTGTATTATGTAATGTTAACTAGTCAACTTCACTCCAAAAAAAATTGTTAAGGCCTATACTTCTAATAATTTATACAAAATACAAAGGATTAGTAAGCCTCCATAATGTGCGGCCCTACCACTTTAGGCGGAAATGATTTGACCTGATCTGATAGCCTACTTAATTACTATTTTCCTTAGTGAAATTAGATATGTTGCTCTTACGTTACAACGTCTTTTTTAAACTTGTTATCATTTGTCAATAGGAAACTTTTCAAAATCACGCAATCGTCGTAAAATATTGTTAAACTTGTTTATTTTGAACTATCCTCATTATTTGTTGAAACAGCAGTGAAATATTAACAAGTGTTTGTTCAAGGTTTATTTATTCAACAATAAAAAGACAGAGGGCAGCATTAGCTGAAATCTCTGTGTACATAAAACAGTAAAAAAGGTAAAATACAGTATATAAATGCAGCACAAAAAAAAAACAAACAAAAAAACAAACAAAAGTAACATTAAAAGCTATACACAATTTAAAAATTACAACAACCAGGCCTATTATCATAATTATTAAGTGAAGGAATCATTATCATATTACTGTATCTTAAACCAATTTAAAAAGTTATTGTTAGCATTAAATTACCGATGAAATATAATCAAACAAACAATATTTTACTTAGAATTATTAATACAATCAATAATTGTAGGGATGGTGGAGCTTTTCCATCGATGTTTTCTACACAAAGGGGCACTAAGTAAATTACTATTTCTCAAGTTTCTACCGTGATTGCGATAGGGGGAAGCATATATCACGAAACAGTTTCGAAGCAAGAAGTTCATTACCAAACTTCATCATTAGATTATCTCTCCTAGTATTAAGAGAAGAGAGCCCGGACAATATTAAAGCATTATCATAACTACAATAATCCATACCGAAAATACTCCTAAGCGCCCTCTTTTGAACCCGCTCAATTCTATTACGTTGGATAATGGTTAAAGAAATGTGCCACAATGGGTATGCGTATTCCAAAACAGGACGAATGTAAGTAATGAAAACGCATAAAAGATCATTTACTGGGGCTTTGGCTTTCCTTAGAATTGAAAGGGTAAAAAGGAGTTTAGAAGCTTTATAGATACATTCATTCACATGTTTGTCCCATTTTAAATCATTTTGAATAATTACACCTAATAACTTCATAGAATCGACCACATGAATGACCTGGTCATTAAGGGTAACAATAGGGTCAGGAGTACGGGATTGTAAAAACGACACTATCATAATATGACATTTACTGAGTTTAGGAAGCATATACTTGTTAGTGCACCACAAGCTAACATTATCAAGAATAGATTGCATCTTTTGTTCTTCCCTTTTAGCGTTCATTACTTCCCCAAATGTTAAATCATCAACGTATTTCCACCTTCTAGGGACATTCCGGGCCACGTCATTAACAAGAACTAAGAAAAGGATGAGGCCCAATTTCGTCCCTTGAGGGACAGCACAAGTGATACCAATAGTAGACGAAACACACTGTTTAAATATAGTATTAATGACTCGATTGGATACAAAACTACTTATAACAGGGATGATAGATGGACGTACTACGACGTTAATTAATTTGTTGATTAAGACTGTGTGATCGACACGGTCAAACGCCTTAGTGAAATCTATAGTACATAAATTCACAAACCGTCCCCCAGAGTCAATGTCCGATAAGACAGTGTTAAAAAGGTTCACAAGATAATGAGTGGTAGACGACTTTTTGCGACTCCCATATTGTTTACCATCAATCTCATTAATAATATCTTCCATGATCCAGTTAGTCAAGAATGACTAAAAAATTCGAGCAAAAATAGGGGTTAACGAAATTGGACGAAGATCATTAACGTTAGACGCATTTCGAACCTTTGGAATCAGGACGATTGTAGCTGCTTTCCGGATTTCAGGAAAATGACTTTCATGTAAGGCAGTATTGAAAATATCAGCAATAGGAGGTGCTAACTCAGGTGAGAATTCTCTGACTAGTTTTAAGGGAAGGTCTTCTGGGTGACTCGATTTGTTAACTTTCAATTTGTCCAACAATTTCACTTGACCTGGGTAGATCATAGGTGGTTTTTGAGCTGGTAAATACGCTGGTAACTTCGACGGTTGCAACATGGGTAGTTCCGAGCAAACATTCGCAAAGTAACCATTAATAATTTCTGCTGTTTCATTAGGCGTGTGCCCCGGGATATTAAATGTTTCCTTTCTCTTAAAATTACACATATTATATATGCCTTTATACCATTTTTTTGGATCATTACGTTTAAGGCAAGCAATGGAATTGGCGTAAAAACTTGCCTTGGCATGAGATATTGCCCTTTACGCAGAGTTTCGAAGTTGTCGCCAGCGCTGTATATTATTGCGATCAAAAACTTCTTGCCTCTCATCAAGTATTTGTCGAACTTTAGGAGTCATCCACGATTTATCAGCAGAACGTTTCTTGAATATCTTAATAGGGAAGCACGATATAAATTTTCCTTTGAGTAAAGACGAAAAAATAGCAACTTTATCATTGGCGGTACTAAGGTTATCAACATAATTCATGTATGTGTTAACACAATCATATCAAGTCATATAAAAGGTATACGAACTGAACATTGAATATGTGTACAAAGGTGGAATGATCAGGATTTCAGGCACGAACAGCAATGCCGTGATTTTTTGTCGGCGGTCAAAGTCCACAGGACTAGGTCTAATATATGCCCTGCAGGTGATGACTGTCAAGTCATTGTTTAGGAAGCTACAGCAGTAACATAATTATGTTTAAACCTAGAAAATTGCAACATATTTTAAAATTATTTAAAGGTGACAACGTTGAACATTCTATAATGGCATAACATGTTTATTTTGATCTTAATTAGGCCTATTCGGAAATGTTCATAAAAATGACACCGTACGTCAAGTAGAGCAAATTCAGATTAAAGCAGTATAGAAAAACCATACTTTAGGTCATCTTTGAGACATAATTATTATTTAGTTAAATTTGCATGTAAAATGGCACTGATTTTAAGACAGGCACATGATTTAGGTTTTACTCACAAAGTTTATTTATTAAAGATTATACTTTTTTAAATGTGTCAACATTACTTTGTTTCTATGAGTAAAAAACAAACTTGCCCCTTGGAATGACTTACCAACCGAAATTCGACAAGTAACTAACATAGACACATTCAAAACATATACTCAAAACACATCTTTTTAATTTATATTTTGCTTAACTCTGGATTTTTATTTCTAATGTAAAGCACATTGAGGCTTTTAGCAAAATTCGCTTAATCAAGATCTCACTATTCCTATTAAAATGTGTCCATTTTTCTAAATATAGGCATGTTATCATATCATATCATATCATTTATTTTTCCAGTATACACAAAAACATTACAAACAAGAAGCACAACCGTGACTGCCTGGTTGGATTGCCCAAAAGCAAAAACAGATGTCTGCTGTCAAGGGGCTCTCCACACAGTACGGT